TGGCATCGCAACCTCCCAATCCGCCCTGCTCTGTGCATGACAGGGGGCGGTGCCCCAACTCCCCAATCAGCCCTGCTCTGAGCCTGACCAGGGGCTGCACCTAGGGATTGGGCCTGCCCTCTGCCACCCAGGAGCAGGCCTAAGCCAGCAAGTTGTTATCTCCCGAGGGGTCCCAGACTGCGAGAGGGCACAGGCCGGGCTGAAGGATCCCCCCCCTTCCCCCCTGAGTGCACAAATTTTTGTGCAGCGGGCCTCTAGTATAATATAGTTTTTAAAACTATGTGTTACTTAAAAAGTAGCATTTCTCTTTTGTTCTAAACCCAGTCAATGTAAAATAGTTTGAGAATCGTAATAGTCTGATTTTGGCACATGAGAAACACTGTTAGGGAGTATTTGTACCAGGTTTCTGATAATTGGGCGTTGATTAAGAACAAAATGGTCCTCCGGTCCCGCGTGCGTGGGAGAGAAAGGCCCCGTCAGCACCGGGGCTGGGGGCTGGCGGGTCAGCAGCCTCAGTCGCCTGCTCCAAATGCGCACAGTTACTATTTGGATGGTGACATGCTCTCAGTAATTTGAATGCCTCCAAAATGAACATGTGCCTGGATCTTCAGGAGGGCAAACGGAGGTCCGACTCCTGGGTGTGTGGGTGCCCATGTTGTGCCTGCCCAGCGTGTGAGTCGCTGTGTGTGTTTCCGCCCGCAGCTGGTGATGGAGTTCTGTGGGGCGGGGTCCATCACGGACCTGGTGAAGAATACCAAGGGGAACACGCTCAAGGAGGACTGGATAGCGTACATCTCCAGAGAGATCCTGAGGGTAAGGACAGGCACGGCTCTGGTGCCCACCGGGCTCTGGCATTTCCGTCTTCACTTCCCTTGCCCAGAGTGTTCCTCGAGTTATAACTGCACAGATCCTTCTTGTCTTGACAACCAAGGGCTCTGTATCGCTCGCTGGCTTTGATAGTTTAAGCTTCATCATGGTTTTGATCTAAAGATCCAAAGTATTCTGGCAAGTATCTAAAGAAAGTAGATTGAAAGAGGAAACAATTTTTTCTGTATCTCCCTGAATTCACCTCCAGGTGTTGAGAAGTCAGAGTGGAGGGGAGAGAAAGCGTCCTGCTTTCCTCTGAGAGCCCGTGTCTGAGCCTGCGGGCCAGCAGTGGTGCCGAGCACTGGCACCTGGTCGGGGGCCGGGCGCTCGCTGCTAGTCTGCTGCAGTATGCATGAGGGAAAGTTCCAGTGTTACTGCTGCTTACAGCAGCTGGAGGCTTGTCTCATGATCTTAGAGGAAGTTTCTGCACTACTATTACAGCAGCTTCTGAAGATCCCTCCTGGTGGCAGAGCCGCCCTGACCACAGCCGGGGAGCCTCTGGCCGGTCGGCAAGCTTAGCTTCCTCCGTGCTTGCCCCTGGATTACACACATGAATGGCTTGGTTTGATTTCATTTACCCCGTGTTCTACTGAGTTAAACTGGAATCTAATTGTTAGGCTTCTCTCACTAATACAAAAAATTGTTACTTTATTTGTAGGTGAATTTATCCCCATTTTTATATTGAAGTTTCATAGAGGACTACAGGTTTAAAAAATGCCAAGTGGAATTCATAGAGATAGGTTTTAATTTCTTTTTATTTAGATATTTAAAAGCCCAGTGCACGGATTCGTGCTCCAGTGGGGTCCCTCAGCCTGGCCTGCGCCCTCTCGCAATCCGGTACCCCTTGGGGGATGTTGGAGAGCCAGCTTCGGCCCGATCCCCGACCGGCCAGGCCGAGGGACCCCACCGGTGCACAAATCCCTCCTTCCCTCTGAGATTCATTAGTCTGTTCCATGTTTCCACGCCTATGGTTTCCGATCCTGCATTGAGCATCTGCTCCCTGGTGGTCAGTGCACATCATAGCTACTGGCCGGTCGCTTAGGCTTTTATATAGTAGGTCCTCGGGTTACATCAGAGATCCGTTCCTACAGCGCAACGTAACGCAATTTTCGCCGTTAAGTCGGAACCCACCTACATAAGCACCTACGTCACTCACATGGAGCACATGCACAGCAGTAATGAAGTGAAACAGTAAAAAAAAATTAAAAGAAAGATAGCAATTCCTGACCTTTACTTGTGGTAAATAAATAATAAACAACATAAAGCACATATGTACATACGTCGAAATGACGGAACTTTATTTTTTATAAATGGGAGATGGTGACGTAACCACAAAACAACGTAACCACGAAACAACATACGTTGAGTCTGACGTAACCCGAGGACCTGTGTAAATTTTGCACAGCCCTTGACAATAGGAAATTCCCTTAAGAAAACTAGTTGTGTGGATGAAGTGGGAGAACCATCTATTTATAGTCACATTCAAATTTTATTATTAAAGCATCAGGGTTCTTGTCTGAGGCTACCACGGGGAGCAGGGTATGAGGTGGGGAAGGCGTGAGCCTGCCCGCTGAGATGGAGTGCAGGGCGCATGGGTGTGTGGTCAGCTGTAGGGAAACAGCCTGGTGGACAGGAGGGCCCTGGCTAAGGCTGTGGCTGCTGGAGTCCATCAGGCCTGGTTGTGAGCCCTGCCCTGCTGCTTACCTGATGTGCACCCTTGGCAGCGTCACTCGGCTTTCAGGACTGCCTTTCTCACCTGTGGATACAGGTACCAAGCCTGTAAAGGGAGTGCCTTCATCAGGAGAATTAATGTCAATGTATCGGAGTCATTTAACGTGACACGTGCATACACAGCTAATGCTCATTTAATATTAGTTGTCCTTACTCTGTTAGAAGCACACACACACATCTTTCCTACATGTAATTCCAGTGTAGGATTTCTCATGCAGAGAACTAGGTTTCATTGTAAATGTCTGAGCCGTCAAATAAATGTATTTTAAACACATTTCATCACAGGCAGTTTCATGCTTTTTTTTTTTTTTTCCCAAAGAGCTTGCAAGGCCAAAGCTGGAACAATTTTTTTAAAATTGATTTCAGAGAGGAAGGGAGAAGGAGAGAGAGAAACATCATTGATTGGCTGCCTCCTGCATGCTCCTTACTAGGGATCGAGCCCACAACCCGGGCATGTGCCCTTGACCGGAATCGAACCCAGGACCCTTCAGTCCACAGGCCGATGCTTTATCCACTGAGCCAAACCAGCTAGGGCAGTTCCGTGCTTTTATGTGCACAGGCATACGTTGTTTACCTGGTGTGTGCACTAAGCATGTACTGCTAGCCTGGGTGTTTGAGGTGGATGGACATCGTGTTGAGATGCAGAAGTGTGTTCCCCAGTGAGCGCGTGATTTGTCTTTCCTGTGACAAAAGTCTGAATGAACTTAAACACACCAGCCTCTGGGATCCAGAAGCAGACACCGAAGCAGGTGTGTATTTATCATGAAGGAATTGCTAGGAGTCGTTCTGGTAAAGAGAGGGCCGTAGACGGGGAGGTGAGCTCTCGTGGGAAAGGAAGGTCGTGCCCCCGCAGAGGCATGGGGCCCTGGAGAACGTGTGGAGGGCGGGACCTGCTCTCGCTCCTCAGTGGGGGTTGGTTCGGACGCTGCTGCGGTGAGGTCCCTCAGAAGGTGTCGAGTGTGTAGAACGCTCCTGGCGGCCCACTGGACCTCTTGAGACCAGAAGGTTTACCGACATCCCAGCACTTCGCGTTCAGTCTGCACGGCAGTCACGTGCATCTAGGTCAGTGGTCGGCAAACGGCGGCCCCTTGAGTGTGGCTCTTCCACAAAATACCACGTGCGGGCGCACACGTACAATGCGATTGAAACTCCGTGGCCACACTCAAGGGGCCAAAGAGCTGCATGTGGCTTGCGAGCCGCAGTTTGCCGACCACTGATCTAGGTGGAAACGGGCGTTTTTACGGAGGGGCACTTAGAGCCTTTCGCAGCCAGTGCTGAAGGCCGGCCTTCGACCACTCCTTGTTCCCTGTCCAGCGGTGAGATAGTTGCAGAGACTGCTCCCCAGCCTTGAAACCGATTCATTGTCTGGAATGTTTACTTGTGTGTATTGGGATCTGTCATCTGTCTCTGCTGAGAAAGAATCATTGCAGCTTGGTTTTTGACATGGGAGCAGCGAAACATACACGTGTCGTCCCTCCCGGGCACGCCATACAGGAAAAATGTGTTCGCTGTTCAGAGCCGTCCTGGCTTGGGGTGGCACTGGTGACCAGTGGCTTCGGTACCCAGTGGTCACCCTTGGCCGTACACAGCACAGGAGACACACCTATGTATGTTGCTCGTTAGGAATAAGAATACCCAGGCCACGTTTGTCTGAGGACACTTGGGTACTTGTGTTTGTTGCTAAGATGATGCTATAAAAGTGTAAGAAGGGGTTTGTGCAAATTATAGAATAAATGATGAACAGAAGTAGTACCAGTAGGAGATAGCAAAGAATTAGGGAAGCTATGTGTTTTTTGCCTCTTCCTTTGCTGCTCACAGTTGTTTCACACTGAGAGGAGGGCTTTCTTCCTAACTGGCCCTGTGGTGGCTCATGTGTTAGTACCTCTCCCCCCTGCCAGTGCCCGTGGCTAACCCTGCACACACCCCCCCCCACACACACACACGGCTTCACACGTGGCTGGTGGAGGCCGTGGGCAGCCCTGTGCTTGAGAAACAAGTGTTCTAGAGCAGCTGTCTCATTTACTTCACAGCCTTCAAAGTCATGATAACAATAAAACCCACAAGCAATGGAACAGGAAAGTCAAACCCTTCTCTTCAGTCCATCCCTCGGAACTAGCCCTTTCCCAGTGAGTAGGCTGCTTGTATCGGAAGGAGGCGGGCTCTCGATTTCGCTTCTCGAGCTAAAGATGGGGCAAGTAAAGGAGTGAGAGAATGGGGCATTTTATCTTTTAGACCATATTTGGATGCAAAATGTAGTTGTGTTCTTGCTCCCCCCTCAGAAGAGACTGCTCTCGGGCTGCCTTCCAGATACAAGGTCGTCAAAAAGCACTATATGCCAGGAGATTTCTCTCTCTGGGAAACACATACTCTAACACAGTGGTTCTCAACCTTCTGGCCCTTTAAATACAGTTCCTCATGTTGTGACCCAACCATAAAATTATTTTCGTTGCTACTTCATAACTGTAATGTTGCTACTGTTATGAATCGTCATGTAAATATCTGATATGTAGATGGTCTTAGGCGACCCCTGTGAAAGGGTCGTTGACTGCCAAAGGGGTCGCGACCCACAGGTTGAGAACCGCTGAACACAAAGCTCTTTTGATGGCCGAACTATTTTGCATTTGGGGTAGAAGTGGGATGATGGGCTGTGTGCTGGGGGACCCAACTCACCTTTGCTTTCCCCGGGATGTGTCTAGTTCAAACATACTTCGGGGTCACCCCCTGAAAGATGGGTGCACAGTGTGGGAAAGGCACCGGCCGGTGCACAAATAGCACAGACTGTAGCCGTGCGAGCACACAGTCATCCACAGCGTGTCTCGGGGCAGCTGGAACGTGGTGACACTACCACAGGGACCTAGCCCACCGGAGCGGAGGGTGGGCATGTGCTCTGCCTGTGGAGTGCTGTGAGCAACGTCTCCCAGGAAGCGCCGGAGAGTGAATTGTATGTTCTAGCTATGGTCCGCAAAGCCTGTGGCCCGCACACGCCCTTCTCAGGAAGGCTGTGTCTTGGTGACTGACTTACAGAGATAGCGACTAAAGTTCAGTCTGTCTTCCTACTCAGGGCCTGGCGCATCTTCACATCCATCATGTGATTCACCGGGACATCAAGGGCCAGAACGTGCTGCTGACGGAGAACGCAGAGGTGAAGCTCGGTACGTGACGGAGGGCGCAGCCAGCAGCACCCCCTGCCCGTTTGCATTACCCAGCGTTCAGCCTGTGCCTGCACTGTCTATGTCTGCGCTCTGTAACAGGTTATTGCTTAGCCTGGCTCCACCCTTCCATCATGTCCCCCCACCACCATCCCCCACCCCTGTTCTCTGTGTAGCAGACAGACTAGAGCAGCTGTGGGCAAACTACGGCCCGCGGGCCGGATCCAGCCCGTTTGAAATGAATAAAACTAAAAAAAAAAAGA